GCTCTCTGCTCAGTTGTTGCTGGCTGCAGGCCCTGCTTAAAGCGAACTCTAACCAGCTGAAGATCGTGAGTTTTCTTCCATTGGGAGAACTTTCTATTTGATTGCTGATTTTTTTTTTCTTTCCCTTCCCCCTCCCCCCCGTCCTAGTGTGGAAAGGGGAACCAAGGGGTTTTGTTGTTGTTGTTGTTTTGTTGAGTTTTTTTTCCTCCAACATACCCTGGTGGGTCTTGTTTTTTTCCCCCATCCTATGTGGCAGCAACCAGGGATCCCACAGCGCCACCTGGTGACAGACACTGGACATTACAAGTTCTGCACCTCTAGTGATCCAACAGTGCCACCTGGTGGCTACTACAGGACACTACAAGTTTTGCATCTCTAGTGACCCAACAGTGCCTCCTATTGACTGTGGTTGGAATTGCACCAAGGGGCGCAAAAATTGAACTGTTTACTCTTCCTTTTGCCAGTTTATTGGTTTGTTCTTGAAGGGGATTATTTGTGGGTATAGGAGTGTTGTTTGGTTGTTTTACTTGGTTTTTTTGGTGTTTCTATAAATGCATACATACTTTTAATAAAGGGCTGTTATCTTTCCTTTTCCATAATTTGTTCTTCTCCTTCAATCAGAACCTTTTAATTTTGGATTTATAATTGCTTAGAGAGAAAAGCTTGGGTCTTTTTCTCCTAACTAATGCTCAGCAAAAGACCCTTGTCTCATTTAAACTGGGACACTGATCATGGAGAGGACATGGGACGGTGGGACAGGTGACCTACCCATGCCCTGGCAATCCGAGTACAAGAGTTGAAAGAGAGAGAAAAAAAGGAAAGTCCATGAAAGTGAGTGCAGTACTGGTATCCCGTGGGCAGGGATCTGACCTGCTAGAAGGTATCTCCCACCAGTATTCACAGAAGGAAAACTGTGATGAGCAGGACAAAGACCAGTACTAGAGGGGCCCTGCCTCTAGCCAGGAAGAGGCACGGGACAACCGTGTCTATTGGTCTGTGTGGATCCGATGGCCTGGCACATCAGACCCACAAGAATATAAGGCTTTGGTTGACACTGGCGCTCAATGCACGTTAATGCCCTCAGGACATGTGGGACCAGAAACTATTTCCATTTGTGGGGTGACAGGAGGGTCTCAACAGTTGACCATGTTGGAAGCTGAAGTGAGCTTGACCAGGAAGGAGTGGCAGAAACACCCCATTGTGACTGGTCCAGATGCCCCATGTATCCTGGGCATTGACTACTTTAGGAATGGGTATTTCAAAGACTCCAAGGGACATAGATGGGTTTTTGGAATAGGTGCTGTGGAGACAGAGGCAGCTAAGCAGTTAAATTCACCACCTGGCCTCTCGGAGAACCCTTCTGCTGTGGGACTGTTGAAGGTTGAGGAACAGCGAGTGCCAATTGCCACTACAGTAGTACATCGCTGGCAGTATGGAACGAACTGAGACTCTGTGATCCCCATCCATAAGATGATCTGTGAGCTGGAGGGCCAAGGAGTGATCACCAAGATCCATTCACCCTCCCACAACCCTATCTGACCTGTGCATAAGTCTGATGGAGAATGGAGATTGACTGTGGACTATCATGGCCTGAATGAAGCCACCCCGCCGCTGAGTGCCGCTGTTCCAGACATGTTGGAGCTCCAGTAGGAGCTGGAGTCTAAGGCAGTGAAGTGGTACGCCACTACTGACATTGCAAATGCGTTCTTCTCCATTCCCTCGGCAGCAGAGTGCAGGTCACTGTTTGTTTTCACGTGGAGGGGCGTGCAGTACACATGGAACCGACTGCCCCAGGGGTGGAAACACAGACCCACCATCTGCCACGGACTGATCCAGGCTACGCTAGAGAAAGGGGAAGACCCCGAACACCTGCAGTACATTGATGACATCATTGTATGGGGGGACACAGCAGAAGAGGTTTCCGAGAAAAGAAAGATCATCCAGATTCTCCTGGGAGCTGAGTTTGCCATCAAAAAGAGTACGGTCAAGAGACCTGCCCAAAAGTTCCAGTTCCTGGGGGTAAAGTGGCAAGATGAACATTGTCAGATCTAGACTGAAGTCATCAATAAGATCACAGCAATGGCCCCACCAACTAGCAAGAAGGAAACACAAGCTTATCTGGGTACCATAAGCTTTTGGAGAAGGCACACCCCCGAGAAGGCACAGCCAAATCGTAAACCCTCTCTATCTGGTAACCCGCAAGAACAATGATTTCCAATGGGTCCCTGAACAACAGCGAGCATTTGAACAGATTAAGCAGGAGATGCCCACACTGTAGGGCCAGTCAGGACAGGACCAGAAGTGAAGAATGTACTCTACTCTGTATCTGGGGATAAGGGCCTTTCCTGGAGCCTCTGGCAGAAGGTGCCTGGTGAGACCCGAGACTTCCCACTTGGATTCTGGAGCCAAAGCTACAAAAGATCGGAAGCCAATTACACTCCAACAGAAAAGGAGATCCTAGCAGTTTATGAAGGATTACAAGCTGCCTCAGAGGTGACTGCCACAGAAGAACAGCTCCTCCTGGCACCTGCACCAGTGGTGATGAGTTGGATGTTGAAAGGGAAGACGCTCTCCACACATCATGCCACTGATGCTACATGGAGTAAGTGGATTGTCCTGATCACGCAGCGCGCCCACACTGGAAACCCAAATCGCCCTGGGATCCTAGAAATTCTCATGAACTGGCCGGAAGGTGAGAACTATAGTCTAGAAGAGGAAGAGGAAGGGGAGCAGGTGGTATGGGCAGAGGAAGCCCCAGCATACAACCAACCACCAGAAGAAGAAATACGCTATGCACTGCCGCACTGTAGGGATGAAACATAAATGGAAAGCAGCTGTATGGAGTCCCACATGATGAGCTGCAGAAGCTACAGAAGGAGAAGGTGAATCGAGTCAATTCTCAGAGCTCCAGTTAGCATTGGACATTGCTGAATGAGAGAAGTGGCCAAAACTTTACCTCTACACGGACTCGTGGGTGGTGGCCAATGCCCTGTGGGGGTGGTTGGGTTGGACAGATGGAAGAAGGCCAATTGGAAATGTAGGGGAAAACCCATCTGGGCCACTGATATATGGCAAAACATTGCTACCTGGGTAGAGAAACTGATTGTGAGAATCTGCCACGTAGATGCCCATGTGCCCAAAAATCGATCCAATGAGGAGCATCGCAACAATGAACAGGCAGACCAAGCTGCAAAAGTCGAGGTGTCAATCAAGATGGCCCTGCCCAATCAGAGTCCCTTCACACTGTAGATAGAGACAAAGTCCCAGTGATTCACATGAGGGGTATGTTAGGTAAAACAGTTTGGGTTAACCCAAATGGATTTGCAAAGGCAAATCCATTTGTGGGATTGTTTTTGCCCAAGGACCCCGTTGCACAGGGTGGGTGATGCAGGAAGATGGAGAAACTCGGTGCAGACCTCAAGATATCTTCAGGTGAACAGAGCATAACTCTGTATCTGTATTTGTACCTACATATATGTGAATGTGTATATAGTTTAGAATAATGTATGGAGTTCAAAAAGTTTAATTTGATTGAGTGTGGAGGCATGGGAGAGGAAAAATTAGGGGTGGGTAATGTTGTGGTTTTGCTTGTTCTGGGAAACTAAGCAGGAATTTTCCCTTCCCCCTCCCCACTTGTGTCTCATTAAACTGAGACAGTATCTTATCCTTTTCTTTATTGTAGTTACATACTCCTTGCCTTCTCTCTGCCTTCTCCATGCCTGGTAAGATAATAAGGACATGGTCTATTCTTCCTTATCAAAATCATTAGTAAAAAGACTCAATCCTAGCAGTAATCTTGTGAAAACCTAATTGTGTGTATGTTCTTTCATTATGGGAGCACAAATATTAGTAATTTTGTCATTGTTTAAATTTCACCAGCTCTATAAGTTTACATGATTTGTAAAAATAGCAACCAAACAAAACTGGTTATATATTTAGCTTATTATCCAGAACAAGGTCAAGAGGATTACTATTACTATAAAGACACATCAAATGGCCTTAGAAGAGGATTTTTCTAGTTCTTATATTTTGCTGCAAAGACTTGATTATAGTGGTCCATTATACAGGAACATTTCATGAATGTGTACTGTCAGCACGGAGTGTTGGTGGGGCATGTTCATTTTATTCTTTCCATATTTTGCTTTACATTGTGTTTTTTAGTCTTAAAATCATTCTCCCCTTGATAAATAAGCAATACTGGGAGGAGGGAAAAAAGGTTAGTGTAAGGGTAATGTTCAGCTTCTATCTGGGATATGTGCTAGTTGAATTAAAAAATGCTTATAGATGTAACATAACAAAAAAACTTACTAGGAAAAAGCCTCTGTAGCTAATTAACTGACTGAAAAAAGTATCTATAGAAGTAATCACTTAAGGATCCTGTATTTGTATCTTCAGTTTGTCTTTCCTGGGAAAGATGAACTTTACACTTTTCTTGTGAATATAGTTCTGTTTTTACGCCAAACTGATTTAGCAATATCAGTCTGCTGGTTTTATATGGATGCAGTATGTGTTACATCCCATGTCTCTAATCCTAAAGATACCTGTTGGCCTTGCAGAACCTCCCACTTTTACATGACAGAAGCTTATAATACCTCTCAGTGAAGGTACTCCATAATAAGCTCTTGATGTTAAAGAGTTTAAACTCAAAACTGAAGTGGTGATGTTTGCTGTACTGGTAAGTGCATGCCTGAAGTGTGTGTAAGTAAAAACCTCCTTGTAATAATATCCTGCAAACTTGGAACAGTATGAATTCTCCAACCAAAAAAAAAAAAAATTGTTGGGATTTTTGCTGTCCTGTTCCAGAGAGCTTTGTGAAACTATAATGGAAGTTGGCCTAAGCAACACCTCACTGATATTTCTGCTTGAGGACAGAAATAAAAGCTGAGCAAAGCTGTTGCATGGAGAACAGAAATACTGTTCCGCAATGCTGAGTAAAACATAACATTTGTTTTCTGAAACCAAAATTACTTAGTTGGGTTTTGTTTTTATTTTTGGTGCAGGTTATTAATGCTGCTTTAGCTCTTGCTGCCAAACCAAAGAGTCAAGTTGTGAAAAACAACATGGAGATGTATAGGAGTACATGGGAGAATCACATCCATGTTCTTACTGAAGCTGTGGATGATATAACAAGTATTGATGATTTTCTTGCTGTATCAGGTATGATGATTTTCAGAATCTGATTATTCCTTTATATGCTTTGAAAACTTTTCATCCCTTGTCAACAGGAAACCAGTGGAAGATTAGATTGTGTAAGGTTTTGTGAAGCCATTGCTTGTGTTTAAAATGTCCCCATGCAGTGGATATTTCTGCTCTGCACAATGCAGAGCTGGGTAGAAGTTCCTTGAGCAGATCAGGTGCATGAAGTGCAATGGGTGTGACAGGGGGCACGTTTATCCATCCTCACAAGAGGTTCATTTAGCTCTGCAGTTTGAAAATCCTCTCTGCAGCTGTGAGAAGTCTCCTTCTACAACAGGAGGTACATATGAGTGTGCAAACACCTTAAATGGGGCACCCTCCTGTTCCAGTTACCATGGAATGCACAGTAGAATTTGTGGAATTTTTCTGTGTTACAAATATTTGTCCTGCAAACTGCACTTAATGATGTCTTCAGTGAAGAGACCCTTCGTAGTAAACTGTACTTACTGAAGCAGTGAGTGTCTTCAGCATTTAAACAGAAGGTAGAAAACAATTGCTTCATTTCTTACAGTTGAAAGATCCTGGTTCTGAAGTAAGTTTCCTCCCTCATAAATAAAAATGTGGGAAAAAAAATCTGTCATCGGGTGGCTGCTCACTCGGGAGTAGACTCCTGGCTTTTTACTATATTTTACATTCTTTGGTTGAATATAGTTGAACAACATTTCACAGTCAGTAAAATCAGAACCTGTAACTCAAGGAACACTGGTGTGTAGGCCTACATCTGATGAGGTCCAGAAAAAGTAAATATTCATGTGTTTGCTTTAAACTGTGTGCAGAACATCTTTTGTAAGCTTTGGTGGAACGTTCTGGCACATGTTGATCTAATTTGTTTAAATTTTAAGTGTCAGGCTTGTTCTTAGGGGATCTACTGAGTAGATGTTTCCCTATGGCAGTGTCACCTTCTTGCATTGGGAAGACTTTTTTTTTTTAAAAATTTATTACCTTCATGTACAAAGAAGTAATGAGAAATTGTAAGTGAAAGCCACTCTTGGTCTACTCCTCAGGGTAGTAGCACCGTTACTGTGTTCTGAGGTAGCAAAACATTCATATATTACTCTGAATAGATAGAAGAGATGTCTAAATAGAAAAGGTAAAAGTATCTAAACAGGAAAGTTAAGTGTAATAGAAGATTTGATCACCCTTTTCCAGAAATTACGTAGTGATTAGGAAAGATAATGGCCACTGAGTGTTTTGTGTCCTGTTTGAGATGAAAGGAATACCAGAAGTGGTTCATAATGGGTCTGTTTTTTCTGCAGAATATAGTATTCTATGCCACATGGCAACATGGGAGAAAAATATTTTTAAAATAACATACTTCTTTCAAGATGGATACTGAGCTTTCTTGGACATGACAGCTCTTCACATTTGAGTTAGATGGCTGAGTTTGCAGCCCTGACTGACTTTACATCTTTCAGGTTGGCGAGGGAAGTGGTTAATCCTGGAGTGTATAAATTGTATTCAAAATTATGGTTCACTTTTTTTGTAAATACAGTAAACATACCTTCCCTAGTAATTCTGGTGATTCAGAACTCTAAATTGTACAACAGAATAGCCTGCTTTTCAAGTTTATTTTAAATTTCATCTCTGACCAATTGATAAGTCAGACTTTTCTTCCAGATATATAATGTAAACCACAAAATCCATATTCCCAACTTTTAAAAGGTTTGGAACTTGTTTTACAAGTAGAACAAGTAGTTCTATAGAATGGTGTTATTAAGATGAGTTATTCTGGGTCACTTTTGGCTGAGTTTCTACTGTGGGCATTTCTAAGGTACAGTGTAACTCCCTTTAATGTCACCACAAAAATGTTGCACTGAGCTAAGTAGCAAGTGGGTTAGTCCCTGTTTTTCTTGAATCCAAACTTTTATGTTTCTGCCCTTAAAACTGAGCTCCCCATGAAAAGATCTCCTTGTGCCGTTTTCCAAACCACTTTTGTGGTTGCCAGAACAGGATGTTTCTATGGACAGTTCTGCCCCACTGTGATAGATGTATTTCTCTGGTGTAGCACTGGGGGAAGGAGAATTCTGTAGCAGATGAAAAAGAGGTAAATTGGGAGCATATTGAAGGTTAGGGATTTTTGTATTCTTGTTGATTTGTCGATTTTTTTGTTCCCCCCCTTTTTGCTAGTAATCAAATGCATGTGGTAATAATGCTGTTCTTACTTTTTGAAGTGTATTAGTCTTTCCTTTTCAGATTCAGCTATCCTTATGAAATTAGATTTTTTGTTTTGCTTTGTGTTCTATTCTTGCTGTTTATTCTTATGTGATACTGTGTTCAAAGGAGAATGAGAAGTACAGAAGAAAAAAAGAATGAAATCAGGTCTTTAAAAGTGGAAAAAATGGTCTGATTGCAAAAAGCTTAAGTGGAGGTCTACTCCTCATAAGGGAGAGCAAGAGTTAATGATTTGTATAGAAAATGTCATTGCAGTTATAAATGATACTGCTGTTCGTAGATTTGTTACACCTTGTAAGAACAGAGAATCAGTCTCAGCCTATTGGTTTTGGATAGTTAATTTATGCAAGGAAGAACATGGGTATTAATCTTTACAACCTGCTGACATTAGGTTTAAAAATTACTGTCATCCATTTATCACGACGATGTGAAGTCTTCAGATTCATAAATTAAAATGTGCTGTTGCATTTGATCCATGAATTTCCAGGAAACTAGTTTTGTTATGCTTGTAATTTCGTTTATGTTGGTAAATCCTAAGTTTTATCCTCAGCTCTGCTCTCATAAACTGACTCTTTAGTGTCTCCCCCCTCACACACTTAGGCTGGAAACACAGTTTCTGATATTGATTCTTCTGTGTTATTTTAATACTCTTTTATTCAAAATTGCCTTAATAAACCTACTGGATGTAGATGGAAAATCTGAAATGTCAGCGTTTCCTTCCTTTATATGGATGTTTTCTGCTCCTAATAATGGTGTGTAATTGCAATGACATGTTAGTTGCAATTTTTAAATATTTTAATGTTATCACATGTGAGAAAACTAATAAGAGAAGACTTGGATCTTTTAGTCCCTGAGTTAACTCAATTCTTACAAGGACTGTATAGGTAAGAAAAGCATCAAAAGTGTGTTTATATATACCAAATTCTGAGGACCTATGATTTTTTTCCTTTCTGTTGTCTACTTGAAGAGCTTGCATGGCGGCAGACCCCTGTGCTGCTTTCCTGTCCTATTCTTAATGTCCTTGACCAAACTGTAATTTTTTCATCTGCTGAGCTTTCTCTCCAACCTCCCCTATGCTGTCTTGAGTTTTGGTCTGTCATATTCCTAACATCACTCTGCTGAATTCCTTATATTAGGAATATATAAGGAATATATATATTATTCCCCTTCTGCCAAAATGGAAGTTCTGTGTTTTCATAAAAACATTTCCCTGTTAATTTCTTTTCTCATCCCTCCTCATTTGTGACTAAATCCCCATCTTGAAATGTATGCAAGTGTATGCAAGTAACAGAGAGCGTTTCCTATTGTGTAGTGACATCTCTGCTCTCTTCCCTTTCACATACCTTCTTAAAATACAATTTGTCTAAAGTAATCTCCTCAACATTTTGAATTGTAATTTTTTGGAAGGTAAGTGTGTAATAGGTCATTAGATGCTGGGATTGTTTTGTCCAGTTTTTTGTCTCTCTACCAGAAATTCTGTTACTTGCCATTTATCTAATGGAGTGATATAGGGAGTGCAATGACTTACATGTCTGCTTCGGGTAAGAGTTTGTGTGACTCCCTGGTGCAGTTTCCACTGCTAAATTGATAATGGTAAATGTGGACGTGGGCAAATCAATCTGTGGTAGAATCTGGAGAATCTGCCATTTGTAGTCCTGCGAGCAGAAAAATACTCTGTAATGTGTACACAGGTGCCCCACAATTCAACTCCTTACAGGAATTGCACTGAAGTGTCTTAAATAGATAAAGTCTTCTGAGACTGCCAAGGAAGAAGTTCTTTGGTGAGACTAAACATCATTCAAGCTAAGTTGAGGAGACAAAAGGGAATAATGCTGTAACTGAAGAGCTGGCATGAATCAGTGACTTCTGGAAAGAGGGAGATGAGCCAGAGCCCACCTTCCTATATTGCTCTTGTTCCAGTGTGATGTGATGTACAGACTTGCAGAGGAGATCCAGAGAAACCTTGCAGGTCTCTCCGACTGAGTGGAGTTGAGAAGATTGTACTCCAAGTGTGGAATGTGCAAGGAATTCCCTAAAAGTCTGAAACCATACAGGCTATAAAATTGTTTCCAGTCTCATAATCCTTCCCTTGAAATGTAAGAATTTGTTAAGTCTTTCAAGCATAATGGTAAACTGTGATACTGCCGTGTTAGAATAGAATTTGCCTTTCAATTAAACCTGTTCCATAAGAAACTCTTTAATTCATGGAAAGCTGCAGAAGGTTGGATGTTACTGTAAAGCTACTGGAGAAAGCAGTTTTTGTGGGTGCCAGTGGTCTTATGGCCATCAACAAAAGCTAAGGGACCAGGGTTTTTTTTCTGCTTTTGTTTGTGGCTTTTATTTGATTTCAGCAAACCTTCCTCAGTTGAACACCAGCAAAAATAAACAGGAAAAAAGAACCTACCCTCTGTATTTTATCCACAGGCCCGGTTCTAAGGAAGTAATTTACTGATAACACAGAGGGTGCAAATATGCAGCTTCACTTCTTTCCCTCACATTTATAGTTTCAGGTGTGGAGCCTCAGCTACTGCTGCAGTTTGTACAGTTGTGAGATTTTCAGTAGCTGATTAGGAAGCAGGGGGTCAGATGGACTTTATTAACATAGGAGATAACATGTACAAAATGACAGAATAGAAGAAGAACAGAATCAAAGACTAAGAGACATTAGAAGAAAAATCTGGCAATTATCTACGGCATCAGGGCAGGACAAACTATTTCCTACAGAAATTTCACTTGAAACTTCTTCAGTGTTTTTGTGATCCAAATCTTTAATTTGGTCTTAACTATTG